AGGGCGAAATGGATCTTTAAGCGTAATAGTTCATCATATCGATACATGAACTGTTGTTAAGGACAGGAAACAAAACTCCAAGGCTTTCTCATAAATTCTCCAGGCTGCAAAGTTTGCTTTAACTTCCACATTAATCACTCCGAGTACCTTTCTCTCTTTTCAAAGAACCAACATGCCTCCTGATCAGATGTTGCAGAGAAAAAGGTCTGTCCAAGATACGCCGCTCAGAATATTGGAAAAGGTCAGAGATGGGTATGAAACAAACCACAAACCAAAGGAATCAACAAACCGAGCTGGTTTTGTTCTTCATTTTTCCCCCTTTGGGGTTTCATTTGCTTTGGCCAAAGTCACCCCCCTTCCCACTGTCTCCGTCACCTCCGGCTACCTGCTCCTGCCGCCGTCATCACCACGGGCATCATCCTCAAAGGCAGGGGCCCAGAGGAGGTGCAGGTGGCCAGGAGCAGGTGAGGCCCCTCTAGCATGAACCGGAAAAACGAACCACAAACTGCTTAATTTTTCCAGTGGTTTGTGGTGGTTTCGGGGTTAGCCATGAGCCGCAAACCATCACGAACCACTGATTAGCATGGCCCCCGACTTTCCTGCCAGGAGCCGGGCACTGCATCTGAGCATGCGTCCACAGCAGTGGTGGTGGCAGAGGAGGTGAAGGTGGCCAGGAGCAGGTGAGGCCCCTCTAGCATGAACCGGAAAAACGAACCACATTTTTCCAGTGGTTTGTGGTGGTTTCAGGGTTAGCTGTGAGCCGCAAACCATCACGAACCACTGATTTTCCAGCTCGTGCCCATCTCTAGAAGAGATTATCAGCTTGTCCCAATTCAGATCAAAGCCATGGCAAAGTTCTGCAAATTTGTTTCATAAATGCCTGTGAACATATTTGTATGAAGCCTTCGCTTCCTATAAGGACGTGGTGGCGCTGCGGGCTAAACCGCAGAAGCCTGTGCTGCAGGGTCAGAAGACCAGCAGTCGTAAGATCGAATCCACCTTCGTGCCCATCTCTAGAAGAGATTATCTGCTTGTCCCAATTCAGATGAAAGCCATGGCAAAGTACTGCAAATTTGTTTCGTAAATGCCTGTGAACATATTTGTATGGAGCCTTCGCTTCCTCCTTAATCAGGAGTTTCCAAGAACTTCCATTAGGAGATTCGCTTCCTCCTTAATCATGAGTTTCCAAGAACTTCCATTAGGAGATTCTGGGCCCTTCTTGTTTTGTAGCTCCTCTTGTCTTTCCTGAAGCCCGAAGGTGAGAGGCAGACCTCTGGCTCACAACCGGCCTTTCGTCAAATCATCTTCTAAATCATCTTAGAACTGCAGAGCTGGAAGGGACCCTCTATCGATGAGTCCAGCCCCTCTCAAGGAGACATCCTGGGGAACTGAACTTCCAGCCAGATACCTAAACCACTGAGATACCCAGCAGTTCTTCCTTTTGCAAAGATAGTGACCCACCATTTCCTCTCCAGCTCAGAATACATTGCTTCTATGTGTGCAACTCAGAATGCACACAAAGGTTCAGATTCCTGACAATATTACTTAGAGTACCGTTTAGATAAATCTGAAGCAATACAAGAAATGTCAGCGTTTAACTGGATAAAAACATCTAGGATGGAGGATATCTCTCGATATAATAAACCAGCATCAATTTCAGATAAGTAACATGGCATGCTGTTACGTGCGTTATGCACGAGAAACCAAGAACCAAGCTTGTCTCTCAAGTACGTTTTGAAAAACACGTTCTTCCAAACCAACGTTCAAAGTACTCAAAAGTGAGAAGCCAGTCTTAAATCTAAGTCTTGTAAAACACACACACACACACAGAGAGAGAGAGAGAGAGAGAGAGAGACAGACAGACAGACAGACAGCTTTTAAACAACAACAATCTGACCAGACAAGGAGATGGATTTAACATTTGGGGGTGGGGGGAATACATTCCTATATGTTAATTTTATGGTCTATTTACAGCTAATGAAGCCTTAACTGGACAGATTCCATGGTGTTGTCTCAGGCATTTAATCAACTGTTGCTGTCTGAAACCAACAGGCACATGCAAATATATTCCCGTGTGCAGGGGACCAATCTTACCGAGCAATTATTTCGTGTTTTTAAATCCCGCTCCACCCTCTAGGTGGGTTAGAACGTTTGACATCCCCAACCAAAAATAACAAAAAAATAACCCTACAAATATGCCGAGATCAAACAAGCCACAAAATCCTCACCAGATTAAAACATCACATCCAATCTTCTCCCAAACGTAGGCAAGAAAAATGCTGAAAACAAAGTTATTAATACTGCGTTGGCAGGAACAGCAACAGCCAAAACACAATGTTCCTTCCATTTGCTTGAAGGAGCAACTAGAACAGGCCTGCCTAATTTGTTGTGAGCCTTCCTGGATCAATACACAACTACAGCAGTTACACATATTTAAGATTAATGTCGCTTGGGTAGAAGTGGGGACAACCTCTGGCTTCCAGATGTTGATGGAGTACAACTCTCTCCACCCTCCCTGACCATGGATCATGCTGGCTAGAGCTCACAATAAGCATCACCATCATCATCATCATCATCTTAGAACTGCAGAGCTGGAAGGAGACCCTATAGATCATGGAGTCCAACCCTTGTCAAGGATGCCCAGTGGGGAATCGAACTCCCAAACTCTGGCTTCACAGCCAGATGCCCAAACCACTGAGCTATCTAGCCGTTCCTGAAACCTGGATAGAAAAGCTAGCACATCCTTACAGCAATGCATGGGAACTTAGGCACAGATAGGAGTTATGTTCGTGCATGCTAATCTTTTCTGATGGGATTATCATCATAGTGAAGAATTCTTCTCTAAGTATGGTGAGTGGATGCCAGACAAGAGGGATAGATGGCCAGAGAAGTAATCCAAAAAGTGTTCAGGAAATGAACACTCCAGAGGGAGACCACAGCTGCGATATAAGGAGATCTGCAAGCGAGATCTGAAGGCCTTAGGAATGGACCTCAACAGATGGGAAACTTTGACATCTGAGCATTCAGCCTGGAGGCAGGCGGTGCATCACGGCCTCTCCCAATTTGAAGAGACCCTTGTCCAGCAGGCTGAGGCAAAGAGGCAGTCCCGAAAGCAGCAAAACCAGGGAGCTGGACGGGGGACAGACAGCATTTGTCTTCAGTGTGGAAGGGATGGTCACTCTCAAATTGGCCTTCTCAGCCACACTATATGATGTGCCAAGACCTGTACTCAGAACACATCACCATAGTCTCTTGAGACTGAAGGGTACTCAGAGCACATCACCATAGTCTCTTGAGATGGAAGGATGCTTAATCCTACTAAAATAGACAACATACAAGGGTGCTCCTCTGTGGCCTTTGTCTCACCCCCTTGTATGCTTTGTATAGGGTTTTCTCGTATCTGCCGTTTTAAGCTCCTGTGATAGATCATGGACTTTCCCTCCAGATACAGGGCTTTATATCTACCGTAGATATAAACACTAATCAGCCAAAGATGATAAAGGCCTCTGGACAAAAGCTCTGCTAGTTTCTAGCTTTGAGGGGAGAAATGAGTCTCCCCTCCCTTCCTCTCCCCTCCCTTCCGAATCTCTGAGTTTCCACAAAGCCCCTTAAGCAGAAATGGGGACTTGGGAATGGCTGTGCAGAGTGTACACGGCTAGTCCCGAGAGGACATGAGTTAGAAGCCCAACTTGCCAGACAAATGAGTGGAAAAGACTATTTAGCAAGAAGGCAGGTAGTTGTGGGTTCTGGTTGTCGCCATTGTTCGAGACTGGCTGCGATAGGAACATGGTGTGGCATTCGTTGGGGCAGAAGGAATGCAGAGAAGAAATAGAAGCTTTTCTGTTCTAAAAAAGAATCAGGGCCCTTGGCCTGCATGAGAACAGTCTTCGCTTCCAATTTCCCAGGCTTCGCACAGTCCCTGGGGTTCTTACAGCTTTCGCTTTGCCAACCCCAAGGTGGATGTGGGTTTTCTTAAAGGGAAAAACCTGTTGCATATGGTTCCCTTTAAAGCGAACCGTCTGGCTGTCGGACCAATCAACAGACAAAATCAATCTCTCTCCCCTCCCCGCCATCATCCCTGTCTTCCAACTCCGAAGGTTCCCATAGATCCTGCCCCATCCAGCCAACTATCCAGACACTTTGCTTACACCATAAAAGCAGAGCATGTTTCCTGTTTTCACAAGTTGCGATGTGCTGATGAGAAACTCAGTTTTCTGAAACAGCCACATCTGTCTTTCAGACACGGAGTGGACACAAAGCCAGGAGCCGGGACGTATGGAGAGTCCATTCTTCGGATTTTAAACATTATTTCAGCAAGATCCCAGAAAACGTTTTTGAGCAATTGCTAAATGCAGTGGAAAGAAGGAGGAAGATCCTCCTCGGCACCCTTTAGAGACATGCAGATGATGCTATTTCCAGTTCATTTCGCTTCCCCAAGTGTTCGCGCGCAAATCTATTCTGCCGAAAGATGTGAGTACTCACTAAAATTCCAGCGGAAATGTTTTGCAGGTTCGCATTCTCATGCATGAGGAAGCAAAACGGCCAGGATTTACATCTCCAGTTTTACCACATTTCTGCACTCCTCCGCAATTTAGAGAAGTAACTTGGGCATTGAAATGCGTCTTTCAGATTGCACATCCTTTTCTCTGCACATGTTCCCTGTCTTCCCCTTCTGTACAAAAGGATTCGTGGAAAGTGCCTCAAACAGAAGTGGATATCAGGGAAACAGAAGATGAACCTTGATACCCGTTTCTGCGTGGACCTTTTTTTTTAAGGATCAAGCAAGGTAGAAAGATAAAAGCTATGGCTGGAAAAAAAGAGAGAGAGAGGGAGAGGGATCTATTCATCCCTGTCTCTTTCAGACCCTGAATCCTCTAGGATTACAGATCAAAGCTAGGGCTGAGAGAAAAAAAGGAGAGAGGGAGAGGGATCTATTCATCCCTGTCTCTTTCAGACCCTGAATCCTCTAGGATTACTTTTCGGAAAGAAGAACAGCTTACCTAAGTAGTTGTTGCTCTTCGACATCTCCGTAATGTTGATCTTGGTGGCCCCTTCTGGTATTTCGACTATCTTGTGGTAGCCGAGGTTGGTCAAGGTGTGCTTGAAGACCCCTGAGACTACTTTGCAAGCCGTGTTGTCCCCTCCGCATATTCCACATTTGTCCACCACCTTCTCGGAGCCTAGATAGTCGTCGCAGCCAATATTCTGTCGCAGAACAAAGAGGAAGCAATTATAAGCAACCGCACATGGTCACGTAGGAGAATCTGATGTCGTACAATGGAGCAGAAGGAACAAGGAAAGCTCAAAACTCTGCGCCAAATCTGAATGCAGAGTCGGCAGTTCCTAGCCTCTCTCAGTAAAAAGAAATCAAGTACCACGGGGCTAGAATCATAGAATGATTGACTGCAGTCCACAACAACAATGTGACACAACAAGCATTTGACTGAGAAGAGAGGCAAGCATTAGGAGCCAATGACTTTTTCGGATGGCTGGGGAGAGAAGGGTCCTTCTCTTGTCCACCACGACTACATCAGACACCCAAAAACCTAGAAACAAGAAAGAGCCTGTCTGTCCAAACACCTTAGCCATCGTTGGGAACCACTGCCATACTTGCCATACAGCCAGCATGACCGATGACCAGGGATTCTGAGAGCGTGGAATCCAGAACTTCTGGAAAACTAAAGACGGAGAGCCATCCCACTTCCATTCCATTGGGGAAAATATGTCGGACTGGGGAAGCAGTTTCAAATCTGGGGTGATGTAAACCACTATCCAAGTATGCCCATTTCTAATCCATAGAGTTAACTGAGGTTGCCATCATGTCTTCCAGAACAACAGTCTTTGCGTACAAGTCCCAGATCCACATCTGAGTCTCTGGTACCAGGTCATGAGTCCCAAGTCAACAGTGAGTCCTGCGACTCGAGTTCCCACTCCTGTATCCTATTGGGGGGGAAATCACAACTGCTGGTCCAGACACAGGCACCCCCCTGTATCCTATTGGGGGGGGATCACAACTGCTGGTCCAGACACAGGCACCCCGTGGACCTCTCTGAGTCTCCACCTTTCAATGGCGTGGAGCAAATATTTTTAACACTGATGAGTTATGGCATATCGGACCAGAAACGTATATTCGGTCCAAAATTGAATATTACTGGTCTTGAGCTTTAAGCCAAATAATTTTAGGGGCGAAGGAGAAAGCAGTTCTCCTACGTGGATCCTGCCCATCAGTCACACAAGAGAACTTTTACTCTTCCATTTTTTTAAAATCATCTCAACCAGGAAAAAAAAACTATCACTGTTTGATGTTAATAATTAATATGTTGGCAGATATACAGAGCAATTAAGGTGTCAGGTATTTTATGGCGCTATAGAAAGCAGGAGAAGACAGGCCAAGGGGATTATAAACTTTTTTTCTTTTTTTTTTCTTTTTTTGCCAAGGAGATGAGATGGAAAGAGAAGTGAAATCAAAAATAGGCAGCTCGCCGGCTCGTGGGCATGCTCGCCTGTGGCTTTGATCTCCAGCATCCGCAGCTGCCTCCAACATCAGTCCAGATGCAGCACTTCCACCTTTGAAAAAACCTTGAACCACTTCTGTAGCCTTCAAGGTCTTGAAATGAGCCATGCCTTCCATCCCAACGGAACAGCCACCTTGGTAGTGGTACAACACAAAGGTCTACCGGGACATTCCCGTTAGCCCATACATAACAGGAGAATGTCTGGCTTCAGGCTTTGCAAAATTGTCATCAAATTCGAAGGGAGAATGGCATCACAAGATGCCTCCAAAACTAAGACTGTTCATCGATTCACTTAGATATTACGGAACATGGTTGCAATACTTAAGCATTGGCATTGTGAATATGATTGTGGTTGGGGGCAGGATAAGAAAAAGCAGATATGCCATGGGGGCAAATTGCAGCTAATTAACGAGGTGACAGCTATCTGCCTCATTGTCTGCCAGTCATGACCAGGGGCACAGCCAGGCATTAATTGTTTGCAGTTTGCTGCTGTGACTTATGTGATTTCACTCACTTCAGAGTTAAATCTCACCAAGATTCTGAGCACTAAATAAAAAAGCTGTGAATATATGTTTGTCTTAAATATATCTTGAAATGTTATGGGTTTTTTTTTAACTAAAGACTTAACTCTGTCTTAAAAAAATAGCCATGCTATAAACCAAACATCTTGCAGATTTTCGAATATACAGCACAACATGTTGGAGGGAGGGGGAAAAACCCCTTATGAGTTGCAGGTTCTCGCTGGAGATACTCTTGAAGACTGGTGTGCCAAGTGTAATTTCGCTGAAATCCCTTGAGAAAAACAAGGGGTGATCTGGATGAAGCCTTCAGTGGTGGACTTCACAGGGATTTCAAGCAATGTACACAATATGATGGGGCTAATGCCAGGCATTCACAAAGATGAAGAGTCGACTTTCCAAATCAAAAGCAGATGTTAGCATTTCATTGCACAGTGAATGTGTTTAAACAAGTGCAAGGATGGTGGCCCACATAATACAAAGTGACAATCGTTTGCTGATCTAGTGGCACCAGATGATGAATGGTGATAACAGACGTGACATGTTGACGGAGTTGAATTTCAATGTGTTGGGTCTGGCGCAGGAGAAGCAGTTCGCCATTAGCTGGAAAGGGATAGGCAGCCATTCATTCCGGGAGGTACATGGCAGGGGAGAAAGACCAGAAAAGCCGAGAGGGAGTGTGAGGTGGGCACATAAATCCTGGCCTCTCACATTCGCACACTTAAGAACAAGAAACCACAAAATGCTTCTGATTGTGTGCAAGAGGGGGCAGGTATCTTCTGCTTTGCCTCCATGAATATTCACAGATTTGTAAGAACGCTCTTGGTGCAAAGGGTTGTTTGCTACTACTTTGTCTGGAGGGTTTTTAAGAACCAGAAGCATTGGATAGATTGTTTGCATCTTTTCGAACAAGCACCTGGTCTTCCCTGCTTGCTATGTGTGAGCTTTGCTTCTCGAAGAGAAAGAGGAAAGACTTGGGTATGAGAGAGGCTGTACAAATTGGAAGGAGCTCCATGGCAGGGAAAAGCTCCTAGTCTCACTCTTGAACTGGAGAAGAGACATCTCACAGCCTCCTCTTGTTGGGACGGATTAATGGAGGAGAATGAGGATTTCAGCAAGAATTTGCTACTTCCCCATCCTGGTGTATTGGATAGACCAGGTGCCTACCATCTGGTGCCCTTTAGCTAGCAGGTTTTGAAAATTGTAGCTCAGAACATCTGGCGGCTGCTAATTTGGGCATGGCTTTTCTCACACGTGGTGGCGCTGTGGGTTAAACTGCAGAACCTTTGTTGCCCTCCTCTGAACTTGCTCCAATTTGTTGGCATCCTTCTTAAAGTGTGGTGTCCAGAACAGTTCTGGACACAGTACTCTAGATGAGACCTAATCAGCGCTGAGTAGAGGGGAACTAGGATTTGGAGACTATAATGGTTTAAACTTTTTCCTTTTCACTCCTCCCACTTCGTAAAAGTACCCAAAGCCCACTGGACCATTTTCCACCCAAGGGGGATGTTGTCCACTTTTAGGAAGGGCGGTCCTCTTAGAAATAAAAAATTGAATTGGCTGGGCATCAAAATATGCAAAATATAAGTAGACAGAAATGAGCTATGGAAGTTGGCCTGTTCTATAGACCTGGTCCACCCCTCACACTTTCCTGTGGGGATAAGCACTTGGCCAATCCCAATGGTCTGGAGGTGACGGGCTTCACCCCAGATGCCTGGGGAAGGGTGTATCCTCAAAATTTGGTGCCCTGGAGCAAATTCCCAACTGTCCTGTCCTGATTCCAGCCCTGCTCTCAGTCCCACCCTCAGCCCTGGTCATTTTCCCGGCTGAAACTGGGACCTTGTAGAAGCAGAGTGTTTGTCAATAACCAATAAGGTATCTGGGATTTTGATATAATTTAACAAAAACGTTCGAGAAGTCCAATGACTTTCCAGCACTGGCTTGCAGTGGATTTTGTTGTGTCACAAATACACGTGGTTCCAAGCTTCGAAGCTCTGTTTATCATCCAGAATACAGAGCTGCATTTGGGTTAGATTCCAATGTGCTTCTAATTTACTGTAGTTCCTGCAATATTTTCTCCAGGAAACCTTAAGTATGGGATCAGACGCTCTTGGGTTAGGATATGGTCAAACACAGAGCAGAAGGGGAAGTTCCCTCCTACAGAGTTTACAAGAACATCTGGGCACATCTGGATAAAGGGGCAACTGTAGGAGGTAAGGGGGATAATCTCTTTACAACCATTGTGGAATGGAAAGGGTGGAACGTCAATAAGGAATGGATTCGCACATGTGTGTGGATATTTCCAAGAAATGTCAAATCCCCCTGAAGACAGCTGAATCCACCCCCTGTATCTCTTTAGTGTTACCAGATATACTCATCAGTGGTTTACAGGACTCCAGTTAATTTCACATTCATAACTTCAAAGTAGCCCTTCTCAAGCATTAATGGCCTGAGCCCAATTGAGTCTTTTTGCTTTGATAATTTCTGCCCAAGGCTACCAAATACATTTTGTGGCCTCAGGAAGAGTCTATAAATCTGTGTTTCCCAGGTTCTCGATGACATGCCCCAAATATTGGCCCAACCATCTGAAAACATCAAGGAGAAGTACTTTTCTCAATTGTGCTGCTGTTCCCTAACACCCAGTAATTGAATCGGAGAAGAACAGAAGACGGTTGGGGAAGAAAAGGGTGGATTTGCCTCTCTTCCTGTGTCAACAATACCAGGTTAAATTTCAAGTGTCTACAACACGATATTTTTTTTGGGGGGGGGATCAGTGTTTCAATGTTTTCCGTTCGGCTCTGTGTATGTGCCAGCAACGGATCTTCTCGTCATCACATTTTTATCCCCTCTTTGTCAGCTTTACGAGGTGAGAGCCTTGTAGAGCAGGTAGTAAACGTGATTAAAACTGGGGGAAAAGCTATAAAGGCAGCTTTAGGCCTTGAAAAGCGAAGGGAGGCAGAGTCATCACCTTTCTGTACTTGAAATCCAAAATGATGGTTTCTAAGTAACTCGCTTCATATGAGGTTCACCTGTGACTGTGTAAGACGCATGCACACAAGCACAGCCATCTCTTCCATGCCAGAATCCGAGTGTACTGATTTTACAAGAACGGCAAATGATTTTTGGCTGAACAAGGTTACACGACATGTCCGGAAGAAAGGCTATTTCGCAC